ACAGTCTTCTGTGCAAGATACAGCCTCTACCGAACCTCCCCTTGCTCAGCAGACTACAGCACCACCTGGAGCAGTCGGGAAACAATTCCAGCATGTGCATGGCCACCATGTATCAGAACATCCGCAGACTACAGGGAGCTTTGCATCTGTGCAGACTCAGCCTCTTGTAGGTAAGAAACACAAGGAAGCCACTCTGGCTGAGGCCACATGTGAGAACACTGAGGGTATTGTCAGTGTTACACATCTGAGAAACACCGAATGAGCCAGGTCCAGGATGAACTCATCACTGAAGCACACGGTTAAAACTGTCTGCCTTATATACATAAGCACTCACTATATTTATATAATTTATAATCAATTTTCTCGGGTATATAGAATGGTGAAAAATCTTTTTCAGTACTCAACTTAAGCACCATATTTTAGCTACCTTGGCAAATGCTGTTCTAACACCTGTGTGGGGAAAAGTAAGGGGCAGTGATGTGGAGAAAACAAAGTAGGTTTTCTGTTTTTCAAGTCATAGTCACATGCTCCAAACTCTCCTTGTACCCACTGCGTACCCAGGGATGACCTTGAACTCTGGATTAGGAGGACCACAGGGACTTTGATTCTCTTGTTGCTTCCAGTTGAGACTCCATGCTCTTCTGTTTTGTCTTTTACTCAAGTTATAGTCATCCTTGTGCAGAAGGAAATAGAGATCAGAGAAAAGATTAAGCCAGGGACTAGGCTTGTAACCCAATGGTAGAGTATGTGGTAAGCATACATGAGGCCCCTGGTTCAATTCCCAGTTCAACAAGACAACAACAACAAAACCACAAACCATGAATAAACATAAACAAAAGAGACAGACACAGACTCGTGGCCAGAGAAGGCCAGAGGACGAGCACAGTCTCCAGGGTAGACAGAGCACTGTGTCCCCTACTGGAGACGCACGATGGATTCTTAGGAGAGAAGGAAGGAGTGATTTTTGTAGGGAAGACGATAGAGGCGGCAAGGTTACAGTTGTGAGGGGAAATGAAGGGAGTGGCAGGAAGAAAGGACTGGCAGGGGAACTGAGCACCACGTGGGAGGCGCCGTGCTGTGTTAGTCACAGATGGGGCACGATGGCCCTGCTGGCTCAAGGTAGCAGAATGGAACAGTGAGGATTCGAGAGAGAGAAGTTTCACAGTACTGTGATGTGTCAAGTGGCCTTCAGAACTGAACTCCCCCAGGCATATATTCAGCACTCTGAACAGTATGGGTCTCTCTGCATAGCTGCCCACTGCAAAAGATTTCCTAACCACGGCTGAGAACACATATCTAAGGGTGTAAACACAAACAATATGACCACTTAACCAAATGGAAGTAGATTCTCCCCTGTGGTCTTTGATCTCTCCAGCCATGAGCTTTTGACCAAGTTTACACTGCCAGGTATGAATTCTTCCTGTGGAACAAACCTCAGATAAACTCAGAAAGCAGTTGGTTACCCCATTAACAGTCACACAACTGTTGCACCAGTGAACACACTTTGTCTGGTAGGTTGGTATTATAGTATGTACTGTCCTATTCTGTTTTTTTTTTTCCTCATATTGACATCTAGTACCATATCCTGCCTTCCTGGAAGCCTTTCCCAGTTCTGTTCTTTTTTACTCACCAGGGGAAGGCAGAATTTTCATGACAGTTTAGCCTAATCCAGATCTACCTCTGGAGCTGAAACCAGTCTACAGACTAGAGAGCTCCATATGGTGAGAACAGGCTTGCTCCACATCATGGTGGGTGTCAGCCATGACGCCAGCTACCCTTCATGGTCCCAAAATAAAAACAGTAAAAAAAAGAAAAGAAAAGAAAAGGTCACCGTCACCTACAAGTGAGAAATGTTTACTCACAACCCAGCAAACAATATAATAAAGTTATAATGCATAGAAGACTTAGTTCTCTCTCTCTCTCTCTCCCTCTCTCTCTCTCTCTCTCTCTCTCTCTCTCTCTCTCTCTCTCTCTCTCTCTCTCTCTCTCTCTCTCTCTCTCTGTGTGTGTGTGTGTGTGTGTCAGTCTTTCATTTTGGTTTTCTTTTTTCTTAGTCAGGATCTCCTAAGTAGTAAGCTGACCTTGAATCATGACTCTCCTGCCTCAGCCTCTTAATTGTTGGGATTAAAGGCATGTGCCATTATATCTGGGTATTTTATTTTTGTGATGTCTGACGTGGGAAGAAAATGAAAATTAAACTCTGAATAAGTACCTTGAAGTATTTCCATTATGCTTTTCTAAAGGGTGTGTGCTTCTAGGTGATTCCAAACAAGCCTCTAATGGCCCCACTGTGGTACCTACCTCTGCTGAGAGTCCCTCAACCCTAGAACCAGGCTGTCATGTTCCTGTGCAGAAGGTAAAATGATGTGATTTTTCTCAAATGTTGAAAGGACTTAAGATTTAATATGAATCATAGGAAAGATTTGTAAACACTAACAAAAGTAAGATTGGAATCCTAATCCTAACTTTTGTTTATGTCAAAAAAAAATACATGTAAGCAAATGTACCTGCTACCTGCCATAACCTTTACTTATGTTAATAGCCTGTCAGAAAACCATTTTTAGAGTCTGTGGAAGAGTTCCCTAGCCTTCAGAGCACACACTAGCCCATTTTTTTTCAACCTATCTTCTATATGCTTGGGATACTATGAGGTCCTGTTTCAGGCCTTTGAGACTAATTTTCAAACAATGAAGGTGTTGGGTCCCCGCTCTTTTCTTAGAAGTACTCAGGGCACAAGCCTCCACCTCACCGTTTCTTAATGCTTAGGATTATTGTCTGGATACAAAATCTAAACCATTCACTCTGTTAATGCCCAGAGTGAACCACATTGAAACCATATACACCTTGTTATTTTAGTTAAACAACTGAGTTTAAATTACCTGTTTTCCCCAACTGAAATCAGAGTCCACAAAGGTCCTTCCAACCTTAGCCTGCTCTATTACCTAGTCATAAGAAACCATTTTCCTTCCAAAATTTGATTGATAGCTATAAACATGGGCTGAATCAAATATCTGTCTACCTTAGGATATAAAGATTAAAAATGCAGACTCTTGGAAAAGTCTAGGCAAGTCAGTGAGACCGTCAAGTGTACTGAAACCCTCAGATGAGCTTTTCAACCAGTTTAGAAAGGCTGCCATAGAGAAAGAAGTCAAGGCCCGGACACAGGAGCAGACGCGGAGACACCTGGAGCCCAGCGTGAAGGAAGCCAAAGGGCCTCATGAAAATGAGAGGTTTGTGACAGAGATGTATCTGACAGTTTGCAAATTACTGTGGTTCAGTTGTCTAGTGGAACACAACACAAACTGTAGTTTAAAAAGTGTGTCTTATCAATATTTCTCTAAGTGGTTGTATACATTTTTAAAAAGGCAGAAATAGCAAGAAGTCAAGCTTGTAAAGATGCAAATGTTACCAAATTACAAGGACTATACTTCCCAGAACTATCTTCCAAGATTTTCCATTCTAATGTAGGAAGATAGTGCTGTGTGTGGCCCTTGGTGTATAAGACCTTTTTTGTTGTTGTTGTTGTTAGTATAGATTACACAATCAAAGCCTGTCACATGAGAAGTAAAGTCAGGGGCGTGGGGTGCAGCTCCTGGATTTGATCCCCGTGCAGTAGCGCACGCCTGTAATCACAGCATCCGGGAAGGTGAAGGCAGGGGGATCAGAAGTTTAAGGTCATCCTGAGCTACATAGGGGAAGGTCCTGTCAAGAAAGGAAGGAAGGAGGGAGAAGGGGAGAGGAGGAACCCTGACAACATGGGACCCATGCATTGCTTGTTTCTTGTCATTGTTTAATCACATCGTTGTTAAAAAATGTTAAGTAACTTAAAACCTACTTTAATCCCTCCTATTTATTTAGGGAACTTGGGAATGGCTTGCTGCTAGAATCTTTATCACATAAAATGGAAAGCAAGTGTGATGGAGAAGAGCAGGGTGAGCAGCAGCCATCGGAAGCTCAAGACAAAAGCAAACTCTGGCTTCTCAAAGACCGGAACTTGGCAAGGGAGAAGGAGCAAGAACGGAGGAGGAGAGAAGCAGTAAGTGTACTGTCTAACTTACCGACCTAACTAGGAAAGTTAAGTAAGTGTACTGTCTAACTTACCGACCTAACTAGGAAAGTTAAGTAAGTGTACTGTCTAACTTACCGACCTAACTAGGAAAGTTAAGTAAGTGTACTCTCTAACTTACCGACCTAACTAGGAAAGTTAAGTAAGTGTACTCTCTAACTTACCGACCTAACTAGGAAAGGAAAGACAGCCAGGACCTTCTTTCATGGGAGACCGTGGGGACAGATATCACAGTCAGAAGAAACAAGCAGAAGGTAGTGCAGATCCCCAGAATCCACACAGATGCCGGGGAGCTGCCAATATCTCAACACTTCGGAGGTAGAAACAAGGAACCACCAGAGCAGGCTAACTAGCTAGAGAAGCTCAATCCGTGTGCTCTGGGTTCAACTGAGAGACCTGCCTCAATATGGAAGGCGGAGAGCAATCAGGGAAGACGCTCAATGTGAATCTCTGGCTTCCCACAGGCATGTGCACACACACACACACACACTCATACTCACACACACTCATACACACACGCACACACTCATACACACACGCACACACACTCATACACACGCACACACACTCATACACACACTCATACACACACTCACACACACTCATACACACACTCATACACACACACTCATACACACACACACACTCATACACGCAGTAAGTCAATAGTTCCTGTCAATATTCACTCTGTACCTTCCATGTTTGTACATTTCATTATTATATGTAAGTTATAATTAGTTTCATTATTAATATACCTTGATCATATTCATACCCCACAACCTACTCTTGACTAAAACCCCTTCCCACTGGTCTCTTTATCAAATAGTTTCCCTTCTATTTTCATGACTTTCACAAAAATCTAGCTTCTATGTATTCCATTATTCATTTTCCTGCCAACACATAATTTCACTCTTAATAGTTGAGGAATGCTTCATTAGAGATACAGACATATCTTTTATTTATACATTCATCTGTTGATGTGTGCTTAACTATTGGGAATGGTGTCACAGTACATGTAGATGTTCAGGTTTCTTTATTTCTATGGGGACTCTGATTCCTTTGGGTATATGCCCAGGAATGGTAGAGCTGTATATTTTTAGTTTATTTTTTGAAGAACACCCAGACTGATTTCCATAATGTCTATACTAATTTACATTCCTGGCATTCTTTAGGTCTCCCTATATCCTTGAGAGCATTTGTTGCTTTTTGTTTTCTTGCTGATTACCATTCTGATTGTGGTGAGATGAAATCTCGCCTGCCACAGCTTCTTGAATACTGGGATCAGAGGCAGAAATGAATGGCAGTGTTACACAGATTTTGTTTTATTGAACAGCATCTAGCACTGAGCTACATCCTCTGTCCCAGAGTTTACTATACAACCCTGCTTTTGTACAAGTTCCTACTGTGATAGGCATGTTCTATTATCAGTTTCAAACATTTAGAGGATTGTTTATTGCTTTCTTAAAAACTCATGAATCCTCTTGTTGACACTCACAAGTACCTGATTTTAGTCATCTTCCAGTACTTTCACAAAAGTCTAGCGCCCCCTAGCAACCCCTCCCAGCCTGATGTCATTCCTGATACCCTGAGCACCTTTCAGGAGCTTGACTAGCCCAGAGCCTGTAGCAGCACTCAGAGTCCACGTCACGCAGTCTCCTTCATCAGCCGTGGAGTCCTCCATCTGTGATTGGGACCACAGAGAAAGGAATACCCAGCCTGCCGTACCTGCTGCAAAGTCAAGTGGTATTTTAAGTCATGATCCCTAATGTTGATTGGTGAAGAGTCTCTGAAAGTGAACTGACTTTAGCTAAGATATATGTGAATCTAAAATAAGATTCTACATGCAACCTTCAAAATAAAGATTTTCATTTTTACTTAAATGTAAAAAAGGTTTCATTAGATTTTCTTCCAGTTTTCCAGTGTGCCTGCTATAGAGCAGCACTGCATGATACTTAGACAGGAACTTTTCCAGCTCTTACGCGGCAGTCAAAAATAAGCTTCAAAGAACTACTCCGGCTAGATAATTGCCATCTTAGGAGGCTGAGCATTCAAAATGTCCTGATTTAAGTTTTGTTGTTGTTTGTTGATCTCTAAGGCAAACTTTAAGGAGTTCTTACAGTCTGTTAGAGTCAGACATGCCCCACCCCTCTTTGTGATGTTGGAGAAATAAGCCTTTTATTATCCTTTTGGTAGGTAGGCCATAGCTCTAAATCCTTTCCTACACAACTAATGAAACTGCCAGTTCACATCCAAGAAGCCAACCAACTGGCCACAGACCAGAGCTTTTGCATCTCACTGATCTGCTGTGGGGAGTGGGTGGAGCCCTTTTATATTTTAATGCTTGCTATTACTTCACATGGCAAGAAGCATTTAGAAAACTCTTAAAGGACTCCCCTGGAAACGAATGCCTACTAGAGCATTCCCCTGTCCCCTCACGTGTCACTCATTTCCTCTTAGAATGCAGTTTATACAAAACCCTTTTCATAATAACTTCCGACTTTGCTTGACAAAAGAATGTCGTGACCATGCTTCTTTTGTTTGACTTAGCATTTTCTGCTCTTTTAGCTCATTTCTTAAAGATTGCTAATATGCAAATGAACACTCTCCCTCACACTGCCCTGTGCTTTGATCCCATTCTCATAAACAAACAGTTACTAGTCAGTGTCAGAATCAATGAAAGCCCATAGCTTTACACTGTAAGCTAGCATTTTCTCACACAGGGATTGTATATTGCATTGCTAAGACTAAACTTTCAAAAGTGTGTGTGTGTGTGTGTGTGTGTGTGTGTGTGTGTGTGTGTGTGTGTGTCAGTGTGTGGCATGCTCACACCCATTGAGGCCAGAGGAGTAAGTTAGCCTGGTTAGAGTTACAGGTAGTTGTGGGCCACCTGACATGGGTGCTGGGAATTGAAGGCAGTCTTTTGTCTGGCTCACTTAACTACTGAGCCGTCTTTCCAGTGTGGTTAAGACGACTCCCTGTGCCTGGTGCTGTGATGGTCCCAGGGACAAGGAAACACTGCATCCAGCTTGCATTCTCACTGAGATTCTCTTCTTCATTGGAGAATTAAACTTAAATGTCCTTGTGGCATTTTATTATATGTATAGTCTATTTAAAGAAACCACGTATGTGTTTAATCTAAAATTATATATATGGTCAGCAAGGTAGTCATTTATATTTTGCATGAAATTTTTCCAAATGTATATCTATATAAAACTGTAATAAAAGCATGCATCTTAATTAATGAGAATCTTCTCTTTTTTACAGATGGCGGGTACCATTGATATGACTCTTCAAAGTGACATTATGACAATGTTTGAAAATAACTTTGATTAAAGCTCAGTTTTAAATTGACTATCAACTCTAAATGAATGGTACAAATGTTTACAAAGCATGTGGTAAAGTGATTACTTTCAACCACCAAGATACCAATCATATATTGTGTTTTGACTGCCCTAAAATGATTAAATATTTTTCACTTACACTTTTAATAAATATGTTCATTTTAATAACATAATTTATAAAAAAGTTTTATAATTTTCATCTCTAAAGTGAACAGATTTTATTCATTCTACAGAGGACTGTCAGCTATGTATTATAACCCTGATCTAAGCAACCCTGAAAGGAATCATCTGATTGAAAAAAAAATGAAGAATATATAAAAGTACATAAAAGCAGGTTCTGCCGAGTTTTTAGCAATCTGCTTGTTTGTTTGAGACAGTCTCACGCGCCTCAAGCTGCTGTGTAAACTCAACAATGTAGCCAAGGATGGATGACCTTGAACTCCTGAGTCTCCTGCCCTCGCCTCTCAAGTGCTGGGCCTAGAGGAGTGTGCTGTCAGAGTTAACTGGAGTGTCTAACAAGAGATACCTACCCTGCTACCTTGTTTCCCGGTGCCTGACAGTGGCAGAGGATCTGCTGCATCCACGTTTAAATTCTATCCTGACTTTTTTTAGAGCACTATTAGCTATGATTTGAAACACAGTGATAGTAAATATTGTGTGTACAAGCTTCTGTAGGAATGTGTCAGATTTTTTAAAATGTGTAGGTGATGGCAGTGAATATTTGCCTACTTATGGGAAGTCGTAGTCTATAAAACCTTTATGATTTGTCATTTTCAAACTGCAATTATGTCAAAACCACCTATATTCTCTTTTTGAATTTTAAATCTTTGAACTCTTGAAACATATATAACTTGATTTTAGGTGCTGTTGTGATATCATCTAAAGTACAAATTCCAAATGTGTCCAGACACAGCCACGCACTCCTGCTGCAGTCCTAGTGCTTGGGGGCAGAGCCAAGAGGAGGCGCTGCTGCAGACTCAAGGCCAGCCTGGCTCACATAGCAAATTTCAGGGCAGCTAGGGCTCCACGCAAGATCCGATTCATAAAACTGGAGTGTATGCAGGCATGCTAGAAAGAGAGTAAGAAGATGGTATTATTTTCACGAAACAACCAGAATTAAAGGTATAGCTATTTTGTTATATTATACCTTTTCTTCATTTAAATAATTTTTTGTACAATATATTCTGATCATGGTTTCCCTGGCCCCAACTCTTCCCAGTTCCCCACCCATATGACTTCACCCCTTCTTTCTGTCTCATCGAAAAATAGGCAAGCCAAATGGCACACAAACCAGAATATAAATAAATAGGTAAAAAAGAGAAAGTTCAACACGCACAACAAAAATACAAAATCAAAGAAAAATACAAGCAAAAGACTAGTAAGACAAAACAAACAAACAAAGCAATATCAAACCAAAACGTCTGCGAAAAATACCACTGAGTTCATTTTGTGTTGGCCATCTACTGCTGGGCATGAACCTACCTTTTAAGTGTGATTAATATATCAGGAGACTCCATTGAAGAACACTAATTTTTCCTTTGCAAGCATTGCCAGTTGCAGCTAATTCCTTGGTTAGGGGTGTGGCCCGTGTCTACTTCCTCCTCTGGGTCCCGGGCCCCTGTCTGACTTGAACCTGAGTGTACCCTGTGCTTACTGACACAGTTTTTGAGTTAGTGTGCTCATCAGTCCTGTTGTGCTGGAAGACGACATTTCCTTGGAGTCATCCATCACCTCTGACTGTTACCATTTTTCTACCTCCTCTTCCACGTAGCAGACTGAACCATGAGGGGAGGGTTTGGTGAAGACATTCCATGTAGGACTGAGTATTCTAGTGTTTCGCTCTCTGCACACTGTACACTTGCCAGTGTTTATGTTCGTTCTCATCTACTGCAAGAAGTCTCTCAGATGATAGCCAAATGAGACACTGATCTATGAGTATAGCAGAATAACATTAGGAGTCATTTTATTGCTGTGTTCCTTTAGCAGAACAATAGTATTTGGTTTTCCCCTAGGTCCATGGCCTATCTTGTCTCAGGTTCTTAGCCACCCGAGCAGTAGTCAGGCATGGGCTCCATTTCATGGGGCGGGACTTAAATCCCATCAGAGAATGGCTGTTTACTCCCACAGACCCCACCCGTGACACTCACACCCGCGTGTCATGCAGGGATGTCATCATTCTAGATGGCCGGGGTCGTAACTGGGTTAGTGGTTCCCTTTCTCCTCTGGCAGCAAGCAGAGTACTAGTTAGCAGGGGTGAAGGCTCTAGCTGGGTACCAGCTTGGCTTCTCCATGCTCAGTGAGAGGTGTAGGTATTGTCTTTAGCAATAGGGCCTTAGCATCAGTTTGATTTCTTCCCTCTATGTATTCATTTTAATAAGCTACAGTAGTACATTTCCACATGACCCCTCAAATGGCCCTTAGCATTAGTTGTCCCTCCCCATTTTCAATCCCTTTGCCCCCTTTCCTCTCTCTCTATTTAATGTTCCCCCTCCAGTCTCCCTACACCTCCCCACACTATCTCTTCTATTTCCCCTTCTCCCTAGTCCCTTACTCTATGCACCTGTAGTTACATAGATTGTAGCATGCCTACATCTAAGGTTGGTTTGTAATTCCTTTCTCAGTGGGGTCTTTGTATAGTTTAGGTATCAGGATAATTGTGGTCTCATAAAAGGAAATAGGTGATGTCTCTTTGGTTTCTATTTTGCAGAATAATTTGGGGAGCATTAGTGTTAATTATCTGAAAGTCTGATAGAATTCTTTGCTGAATCCATCTGGCCCCGGGGTGTTGTTGTTGCTGAGACATTCAGTTACTGCTTCTGTTTCACGAGGAGTCATGGGTCTCTTTAAATTGCACCTTGATCTAACTTTGGTAGGTGGTATATATCAGGAAGTGTATCCATTTCATTTATGTTTTCCAGTCTCATGGAGTACTAGTTTTGAAGATACATCTTATGATTCTCTAGGCTCCCTCTATGCCTGTTCCTGTGTCCCCCATTTTGCCTTCACTGTTCTGCTTTTTTTTAAAATTAATTTTGTTTGTTTTTTATTTCATTGATTTCATCCTTGAGTTTGCTTCTTGCTGTCTGCTCTTTTGGGGGGATGATTTCTTTTTATGGTTCCTGAGCTTTCAGGTGTGCAGCTATGTTCCTAACACAAGATCTCTCCAATCCTTAGTGGGCACTTAGTGCTATGAGCGCTATGAGCTTGCCTCTTAGAGCTGCCTTCATTGTCCCCATAGTTCTGTGTTTTCATTTTCATTCAGTTCTGAAAAAGTTTAATTTTTCTCCATTGCTGTCTTGGCCCGTTTTTCATCCAGTAGAGTTGTTCAGTTCCCATGAGTTTATAAGCTTTCTGTTACTTCTGTTGCTGATGATGACCAGCTTTAGTCCATGGTGGCCATATAGGATGCAGGGTGTTATTTTTGCTTTCTTGTATCTGTTGAGATTTGCTTTGTATCTGAGTATGTGATTAATTTTGTTGAAAACTCCATGAGGTGAAGATAAGAAGGCATATTCTTTTGTGTTTGGGTGAAATTTTCTGTAGATAGGTTAGGTCCATTTGGTTTATAATATCTGTTAACTCCAGCATTTCTCTGTTTAGTTCTTGTTTTGGATGACCTGTCCATTGGTGAAAGTCAGGCATTGAAGTCTCCCTCTATCAGTGTCTGAGGGTCAACATGTACTTACAATATTGAGGGTAGATTTTTCCTTTGGTGAGTGTGTAGTGTCCTTCCTGATCTCTTTTGATTCGTTTTGGTTTGAAATCTGTTTTGTCAGATATTAAAATGGCTACACTCTCTTGCTTTTGGGGGTCTATGTGTTTAGAATATCTTTTTCCATCTTTTTACTTTGAACTGATGTCTGTCCTTGTTATTAAAATGTTTTTCTTGGATGCAGCAGAAGGGTGGATCCTGATTTCTAACCCAGTCTGTACCTTGTATCTTTTTATTGGGAAATTTGAAACTGTTACTCGGAGTTATCAATGAGCAGTTTTTATTGCTCTTGTTGTTCTGTTAATTATGGGTGAGTTTTCTCTTTTGGTTTACTGTTTGGTGATTATGTACTCCTGTGGTTCTTGGGTGTGGCTAGCCCCTCCAGGCTGCAGTTTTCCCTCTAGTGCCTTCTGTAGTGCAAGATTGGTAGATTGGTTCTTTCTTTTTCCATCTGTTGTGATTGAAAGTTTTGTTGGGTATAGAGATCTGTAGATCTACAGATACTTTTGTCTGGAGTGGCATCTGCGTCTCCTTACCCTGAACACCCATCCAGGCCCTTTTGGTTTTCAGAGTCTCCAACAGTCAGCTGTTGTTCTAATGGGTCTTCTTTTGCATGTTAATTTTAATATTCTTTCTTTGTTCTGTAGGTTTAGTGTTTTAATTGCTATGGGGAATTTCTTTTATGGTGCTATTTGGTGTCCTATATGCTTCTTGTACCTTGATAGGCACCTCCTTCTTTAGGTTGGGGAAATTTTCTTTTATGATTTTGTTGAAAATATTTCCTGTGCCTTAGATCCTGGGTTTCTTTACCTTCCTCTATTCATATTATTTGTTGATTTAATCTTTTCACAACGTCCTGGATGTTTCCAGGATGTTTTGTGCCTGGATATTTTTAATTTAACATTTCTTTTGACTGAGGTATCCATTTCTTCTACTTTGTCTTCATTACCTGGAGAATCTCTTTTCCATGTCTTGTACTCTGTTGGCGAGGCTTACCTCTGAGGGTTTTGTTTGACTTCCTAAATTTTCCCTTTCCAGGTTTCAGTTTGGTTTTTGTTTTGTTTTGTTTTGGGGTTTTGGGGTTTTGTTTGTTTGTTTGTTTGTTTTTTGAGACAGGGCTTCTCTGTAGCTTTGAGGCCTGTACTAGAACTTGCTCTGTAGATCAGGCTGGCCTTAAACTCACAGAGATCCACCTATCTCTGCCTCTGGAGTGCTGGGATTAAAGGCATGCACCACTATCGCCTGGTCAGTTTGGGTTTCCTTTATGATTCTGTTTGCACCTAAGTCTTGAACTGGTTTACTCATTTCCTTCTTCTGTTAGTGTTTTCACAGATTTCACTAAGGGATTCACTCATGGCCTCTTTAGGGTCCTGAATCATGTTCGTGATTGCTCTTTGAAGTCCTTGCCCTGCTTCAGCTGTATCTATCGCCTTCCTCACAGCCTGCTGGGTGGGTCCTGGGCTCTGTGGAGGGGTCCTGGGCTCTGCTGGAGGGGTCCTGGGCTCTGTGGAGGGGTCCTGGGCTCTGCTGGGTGGGTCCTGGGCTCTGCTGGGTGGGTCCTGGGCTCTGTGGAGGGGTCCTGGGCTCTGCTGGGTGGGTCCTGGGCTCTGTGGAGGGGTCCTGGGCTCTGCTGGAGGGGTCCTGGGCTCTGTGGAGGGGTCCTGGGCTCTGTGGAGGGGTCCTGGGCTCTGCTGGGTGGGTCCTGGGCTCTGTGGAGGGGTCCTGGGCTCTGTGGAGGGGTCCTGGACTCTGCTGGAGGCAACGCTGTCTTGGCCGTTCATGTTTGTGTCCAAGCGTCTGGGGTTAGGGTGGTTGAGTTGCTGGTAGATGTTGACACCTGGTCTCGTCTTTGTTAAGTAGATGTTGCTCCAATCTGTTGCCCTCTCTGGATCTTAGGAAAGTGTGGCAGCTGTGGGTTCCCTGGTAGGGAGTGCTCCTGCAGGTTGGTGGGTGGCAGAGAGAAACAGAGATGGGCTAGGAGCAAAGGCCGAGACTGGTTTCAGGAAGTGCTCGGGGGATTCTGTGCGCAGCTAGAGGGTAGTAGTACATTGAAAGAGAGCCCCCAGCATTTGATGCAGCCTCTCATCCTGCCCGGGTACTGAAGGGAGCAGCAGGGGAGGGTGGTGAAGGGGGAGGAGCATGGGGGTGAGAAGGGTTTGCCAGGGCTCATCTTTAGTTCTGACATGACCTCTCAAGATTTATTTCCTGAGCCCTAACATTTTAAAAACATTGATACTCTCTAAAATATTTATTTCTTAAAAAGTAGACATTTTCATCGTTTCTTCAAAACTCTTAAAGTGCTGTTAAAGTAGGCACCTGTCTTATAGCCTTTGGTCCTATTCCCTGGAACTTCTTGTTTAGCATGCCAAAAAAAAAAAAAGTCGATTTGGGGATCCAAAAACTTGCCATTTTTAATACTTGCCAGTTAAATTATCATAGTCACCACACATAAAGCCAGATGGAGTACCAAATGTCTTTTTTTTTCTTTTTGGCCCGAATATTTCCTTCTTTCTTTTCTTTCTGTTTTCCATTTTAGTATCTTTTGTTTCCTGAAAATGCGGCCTTCTGTGTTAGTTGGGGAGGTCTGTGGTTTGAATCAGATTTCTGTGCTGCTTTTAAGAGTAGCTCATCACCCCAAGCTGCGTTCTTCCCACTGCATCTGGGGTTCATGGTGCACAGTTTCAGGAACATGCGTGGGCTCAAGAACACGCATGGGTGGACTCAGGGAACTTCCCAATAAGGTTCCTTCCAACCTGGGAACAGGGCATGTTGTATAATGTCTTTCCCTGTGAGGTCATTGCACATTCTACAGAATTTTCCCTGACATCTCTTCCTTGTTGAGCTGGAAAGTGGCTGGCCCTTATCTTTGACATCTTCACAGTCAGGAACTGCTTTGCCACCCAGTCTGACTACCTGATTTTGATCCCCAGGATCAAGATTGTGGAAGGAGAGGACCTACTACCACAAGGTCTCTGATATCCACACATCTGTCTAACGAATACACACCATGTAATTAAAAAAAACTAAAATACCATCCAACCTCTTACTGAGAATGTGTTAGAAAATTTGCCAACCATTGATCTGCAGGTCAAAATTAAAAGACCTAACACGTGTCTAATGAGAATCTTTGAAACCAACCAGAAATAACAAAAATCATTTTTGAGCAAACAACAATTTTGATTTTCTTAAAATTGAAAAAAATGAATTCTGTAAATATCTACGTGTGTGTGTGTGTGTGTGTGTGTGTGTGTGTAGGTGTGACTGGAGGATAGGGATAGGTGACAATTGAGAAAAAGTCACCCCAATAATCCCATTTCAAACTCATGGAGTGCTAGAATTGGAGGTGTGAGCCACCATGCCTGGTTGAATCTTTTTATCTTGGAAGTATAACATTCCAAGAACTGTGAAAAATAAAAACCTATCTAAGATGGTTTTCAGTGGCCATCATAATACCATAAGCAAAATGTGTAAGCAAGCAAAGAAATAGCAATTTTAGAGAGACTATTTGAACTTCACCAAATGAGTTATCAGCCACAAAAATACTAGGACAGTGGAAGTCAATCTTCAAGGTTTTGAAAGAAAAGAGCCTGCCAGCTTGATGTGTTGAGATTTTGGATGCCATTCTTTTCAGCACTAAAGTGTGTGCTAATTGTGTACTTTTTCTCATTGTGTACCTTAGCACAGCTTTTCTCAATGGCAAGTGTCCTTGTGGGACGGCTGGTTACAGTGAGGTGTACTGATCATGACTACTGCTACTCATAACTGGTGCCATGTCACATAGTTTCTCTTTGCCCTGCTCTGGACTGTTTGCCACAGGAGGGTGTGCACTGAGGAGAGTCTAAGTTTGTGAGGTAATAGTTTTTCCATGAGGGAAGGAAAAGCTACGTGCAGTTCATTGCTGACTGCAGGATTCTTTCACACCATAGGTCGTAGTTCTGTGCATACAGCAAAGATAGCAAGTCTTTGCTGAAAAATAAAACGGAAGTGTATGTCAGCTTGCAATTCCGAATGCAATCAGACTGTGGAATGAAGGCTGCATTTTATCACATGGCGTCTATCCATACCATTTCTAGTCACTCCACCGAGGCCACGTGGTCTCTGCCGTGAACGTGTCACAAGAAAACAGAGTGTGATGATCAGTAGAAAGCTTTTGTTTTGTGTATGTGTGTTTTAGCAGAGGTTTATATGGATTTTCATTAAAGACAAATGAGAAAGAACTCCGAAGAGTGTGTGGGAAGGGATCCGAGGGAGGATTCCCTTTTGTCTTGGTTACTTTTCAATTGCTGTGATAAGACAATACAGAAGAAAGTTTATATCCCGAGGCAGACAGGCATAGAGCTGGAGCAGTAGCCGAGAGCTCACATCTTGATCCACAAGTAGGAGGCAGAGAGACCTAATCAGGAATGATGTGGGCTTTTGGGACCTCAAAGCCCAACCCCAGTGATGCACCTCCTCCAACAAGGCCACACCTCCTAATCCTTCCCAAACAGTTCTACCAACTGAGAACAAAATATTCAAACAGGAACATATTGGGGCCATTCTCTTTCAAACTGCCATATTGCTCATGAAAAGGTTTTTAATGGCCAGACTTGAAAGAGGCATCTTGCACTCACAACCCATTGACCACAACCCATTCTCTTTAGTTACACCTGACTGGAAGCCTGGAGAATTGAGAACAACACATAGGCATTGCTAACTCTAATGAGAGTTTAGGAGATGTGTACAGACAATGAACGCAGAGAGACATCCAACTTCTTTGATATTGAGGGAAACAAAACTGAAGCCATATATGTTTATGGTCCTAACTCATTGTTAGCTCAAATGGTATCTTTATCATCACATGCTGGGGAGGACTAGTGGAAATTCACACATAGCCAGGCCAGACTAAATACACATAATACTTTTGTAAAATATGCTCTCTTATAAGAACAAATAGTTAACTGGACATTGGTGACACATGCCTTTAATCCCAGCACTCAGGCTTCAGAGGTAGGAGGATCTCTGAGTTTGAGGCCAGCCTGGTCTACAGAGTGAGTTCCAGGACAGCCTCCAAAACAATACAGAGAAACCCTGTCACGAAAAAAACAACATAATTTTATATTCAACTCACTCTGATAGTTATATAGCAGTTCCCTCCAAGCATTTGCCTGAAAGAAACCATTACAGACTAGGAGATATGAACAAGAACATACAAAACACATACAAACGAGGATCATAAAAAGAGAGGAAGAGAGAGAGAATGAAAAGACAAAATCCCAATTCTATGAGACCCCAGAAACGGAACTAAAGAGCCACGACAAAGATGCAATCCAATAGACATGAAGTCATTAGAGACCAGTGCCACCAGAGACTAAAATACATGAAAGTCAAGCAAACCCTACTGTCTTGTACAAGAGCTGCATCACACAAAATATAATAAAACTTAAAAATGTTTAGGCTCACCAGGCAGTGGTGGCGCACGCCTTTAATCCCAGCACTCGGGAGGCAGAGGCAGGCGGATCTCTGTGAGTTCGAGGCCCAGCTGGACTGACAGCCTCCAAAACAATACAGAGAAACCCTGTCTCCTAAAAACCAAAAACCAAAAAAAAAAAAAAAAAAAAAAGTTTAGGCTCTATTGGTTAGGCCAGGAGTTTTTAGACTTCTTGACATTAAAATGATGGGTAATAGATGGAAAAATTGGCAAATTTGACTTTACCAAGATTAAAGATTTTTTTCCTGGAAAGACAAATACAAATATAAGAGGGACAACACAAGTTTAATAAAGGTTTTAATAAACTACGAAGAACTCTCAGACTCATTTGTGAGAAAGCATAAAAAACAAAGAATAAAAGTATGTGTGGGTATAGTCAGTACTAGTGCATGCAGACCTAAAAAAACAAAGAATAAAAGTATGTATGGGTATAGTCAGTACAAGACATGCAGGCCTCAAAAAAAAAAAAACAAAGAATAAAAGTACGTATGGGTATAGTCAGTACTAGTGCATGCAGGCCTGAAAAAACAAAGAATAAAAGTATGTATGGGTATAGTAATACAAGACACGCAGGCCCACCACCCCTGCAAGGCCCTGACCCCATTGCTCGGATAGAGACCCACACCAAGTGGAAGACTGGCATAGACACTCTGTCGAAGAAGAGTATCTCTGAGTGGCACGCGACCACACAGAAGAGGCCCGATACTACTCACTACTGGAGAAATAAATGCACATTAAGTTGTACTCTTTTTTTTAATGGTTGTTGAGGTTAGTATACAAAGCAGTAAGTTTTATTATGGCATATTCAGACATGTGTGTCACCCTCTGTCCTAATTCGTCAACCTCCTCAGCTACCCTTCCCCGTGCTCTGCTCTTTGGCGACTTCCCCTCTCCCGAGGACAGCCTCTCCTCCTATGGAGATCCAGTGTTCCCTGTGTATCTCTGGGATGTCGGGAATTAAGATGAGTTCTGTAACCAGCGCTTTCAAGAATGGAACCCATTCTTGGAACTCTCTCGGATTGTTGGCAATTCCAAAATTGTACGGTCACTTTGTGTGTGTGTGTGTGTGTGTGTGTGTGTGTGTGTGTGTGTGTGTGTGTGTGTAGAATTGAACCCAGGGCCTTAAGAATTTTGGTTTGCAGCCGGGCGGTGGTAGCGCACGCCTTTAATCCCAGCACTCAAGAGGCAGAGGCAGGCGGATCTCTGTGAGTTCGAGGCTGGGCTGGACCGAAAGCCTCCAAAACAATACAGAGAAACCCTGTCTGGTAAAACAAAAAAACAAAAAAACAACAACAACAACAACAAAAAAGAATTCTGGTTTGCAGGCAGAACCTCTACCCCTAAGCTACCATCCTGATTCTCCCGGGAAGCCAAGGTTCCAATTAGCCGCCTGACCCTACAATCTCATTTCTAGGTGAAATGAAAGTGTTCACACACAAAACATTCCATGTAGTTATACAGACGGGAGTAACGGGACAGAAATGGCTCAGCAGTTAAGAGTCCTTCTTTTTCAGAGGACCTGAATGCAGCTCCTAGCAAGAGGGGAGGAGGAGGCTGACTTACAAGCCACCTGTAACACCCCTCCAACGCCCTCTTCTGGCCACTGAAGACGCCTGCAGATCACACACACACACACACACACACACACACACCAACTGGGGACTTGATAAACTATTGTGGAATCTGCACCAATGGGGACGATTGAGAAGGAGGAGAGAGGGCGAGGGAGGACACCTTCCTAAGAGCAAGCAAGCAGACCTACTAGTTGCCCGCTCCTTGGTGCAGTTTATGCCTTTTGCTCTTTTTTTCCAGGCTGGGCCGATAACTTTGAAGAAACAGTGAAGCTGAACAGTTAACATCGGCAAGAGATTGTCGGGGGTACCTACCTGAAGAAACAATGCGGCGATTTAGTACAAGTCCCTGCCACCCTCCGTGGTTCTCGCATCCAGAAGCAGGCCTGAGGAGGCATCCCTGGTTATCAGGGAACCAGGGCTTGCCTGAACCTGTTCAGAGCAGGACGCTTCGGCGGGACCCCAGGATGGCGTTCAGCGTCGCCTTTCTTTCGCTAGGCGCTAGTGAAGTGGCACGGGCGGCGAAGGACAGCCCGGGCCGGCCTCTCTTGGCGCGGTCCCCGAGGCCTGGGCGCGCGGCGTGTGCGAGGCCGGGAGAGCGGGCGGGCGAGCGGGCGGACGGGCGGGCGCGCGGGGAGGGCGGCAGGCGCGGGAGGGACGCCGCAGCTCGGCTCCCGCAAGGCCGCCCCATGGCCCCGCCGCGCCCGCCCCGCCTGGTGCCCGCGCTGCGCGCCCTGCTGTACTGGTCCCTGGTGTACGGCTACTGCGGGCTGTGCGCCTCCGTCCACCTGCTCAAACTTTTGTGGAGCATCGGCAAGGCACCGGCTCAGACCTTCCGCCGGACGGCCAGGGCAAACCCTCCGGCGTGCCTGAACGACCCCTCCTTGGGTACCCACTGCTACGTGCGGATCAAGGTGAAGGCCGGCGCGCGCTGGCGGGAGGGGGGCCGGGGGGGACGTGACGCCGGTGGGAGCCGCGGGCGCCAAGGGCGCCGGGCTGATTCTTCCGAAATGCGTCCTGGCTACCAGGACACACCGTGGGCTCCGGGGGGACCCCAGGGGAGGCAGGGACAGGGCTGGGGGCTGGACAGGGGCTCGGTTTATGTCTGTCTGCTTTCTCCTTGTCGCGCGTGTGGGTTGGCGAGGGGGAGACTATTTGAATGTGGAATTTCTCTAACCGGATCCTCCTTCTGCCGAAGCAACTCAGAATAATTCAACCCCCTTTCTTACTGCAAGGAGAAGCAGTCTCCTGTGCACCCCCTTTCCCTTAGGACTCAGATCAGCTGCAGAACAATGCTCCTGGCGGTGTCCTGCTGGTTTAGGCTTGTCCAGGTTTTGAGATGGAGCGAAAGGACAGCTCTTTGGAAAGTCATTTCGGATTTCAGATGGCCTAGGCAGCTCTAAACAGTAAAGAAATGGTGTCCGTTTGTGAGGAATGCCGGTGTTGCGAGCAGTCAGGGGACTGAGGAATGGGATGAAAAGTCCACTTTTCTTTAATAGAGCTTCGTTCGCTCTGCTTTAAAAAGGTGTCAACCATACAGACACCTTTTTATGTTGTCATTGTCAATTGTCATTGTCATTGTCAATGCTTGTCCCAACTTCTGCCACAGCCCACAGACGTTCTATTTCCTGACGCCAGGTGGTGGAGTGAAATAGTCCCCGTGATACGCCTTGCAGTCTGACTCACGGGCCTCTCAAAGGCAACATACCAGGAGATATTTGTGTTACTGAGTTCTGGCTTTCCGTCAGCAGCTAAATTCCCCCCAGCAACTAGGATTCAGAAAGGCAGGAGGAGCCTGAAACAAATATAAGAATTAGGAGCGTTCACGTTTGAAAAAAAAAAAAGCAAACCAACAAAAACAAAAACCAGAAAAATGAATCCAAGTTCAACAGACTTAGAGCTTAGTTTAATTCATTATTGTAGCTACCAACCTGGCATATACCCAGTACAGCAAAGTATTTATTAAATCCAGTCCGTCGGACATAGCATTTTATTCTTCAAGACTCAGCACCACTAAAACCATTTTTTAAAAACTTATGGACAAAACGCAGGCTATGAGTCATCTTGAGTTCCTCAGAATGCCTTTCCTTTTTTCCCCAGAACCAAGAAACAGACACACAGGTGGTCCTGGTCACGTGGTCACCGCATTCTTCTCTACTTCTGATGATTTATTTAGTGATGCTGGGATCAGCCTAGAGCCTTGGTCATGCCAGGCGAAGGCTCTGTCAGTGAGCTACAGCCGTATCCAACTACTTTTGTGTCCGAAGTGACTGACATGTCTGGGCCTCGTGTTGGGGAGGGAGTTGCTGTACTGGGAACTGAAGCCAGGGTCTTGAAAAAAGCATGCATTCTGCTGCACCACAGCCTCAGCCCCTGGGCCTCACTTCCTAACTCTGTAAACCGACAGAGCTGAAGGAAACGACCAGCCAGACTCTTTCACGTCAAAGCCCAGGGTCCACGCTCCGCACCTGACTTCTAATACGGTTCATACTTTCAGGGACCTTGCTTTTCTTCCTTTCTTCTGTTTTCCTGTTTCCTTGGCGTTTGCTGTATTCTTCTCTTCTCATCCCCACCCCCCTTTCATTCCCTTGGGCTAGCTCATCTCCCACGTGCACAGTGAAGTCCGGGGCACTTGGCACGTCCCACTGTTAGAAGCACACACAAGAGGAACAGGCAGCGAGGGGACCATATATGAAACACTCAAGGTAATGGTGTGGGAAGGAGATACCTAAAAATAAGAGAAGGGGTGTGGATTACATAATGGATGGCACAGCTTCAGACGGGCGAGCCGAGCAGAGCACACGAGGTAGACTTAGCAACACTGAAATTCAGATCAGAATTATTCACATATCCTGCAGGGGATGAAACGTGACACGCCATTGTGGTGTTGCTTCAGAAGCTCAAAATACACACATTGACACCCCCACCCCCGTGGTAGAACAAAGAAGAGGGACATTATAAAGGGAATACCCCAAAAGGTGAATTGGCCCATTTATCCTATTGATAACTCATGTTGTTAAATTAATACTTATTCCTTAATGCTAAAGTAATTCAAGTGAGAATGTTTTTGGCTCCGTGGAAACTCTAATCGTCTCAGTTGGACGATACTGATTGTCACATTATCCATGCTTTCCAGGATTCGGGGTTAAGATTTCACTATGTTGCCGCCGGAGAAAGAGGCAGACCGCTCATGCTACTGCTTCACGGATTCCCAGAATTCTGGTAAATTTACCAACCGACTTGTTTCCTTCCCATGAACACTTAACGTTCTGGTTTAGTCCATTTGGTGCTGCTGTAAAACGCATAGGTTATTATTTTTTTTCTCTTACGTCTGGAGGGTGTGAGGTCCCAAAATCAAGACCCAAGAGCTGGTGTGAGCTGCCACTCACTGAGACATCATCATGTGGCAGGGCGTGGAAAGACAAGGAAGCAACAGAATCTTCCCTTAGCCCAGTGAGGTCAGGATCACTCACGTCCTAATCGTGTCTAACAAGCCCTACTGGTGACACTACTGCAGTCACCGTTAATTGTCACCACAAGTTTTGCCAGAGCAAGCATCCTAACTGTCTTACAGTAGTAAATTCACTTTCTTGTGATGCCAGATCATCTCCCAGGGTGGATTACTCCTGAATGTTCCCAAAACAATTTTTGTTTTTGGTTTTTTGTTTTTTTGAGGCAGTGTCATGTTGTGTTGCTGCCCGGGCTGGCCTTAAACTCAGACCCCCTCCTCTTCCGGTTCCCCCCACCTATGCTTGCAGAGCGGCAACCACCACCCCAAGTCTGCCTTACTCTCTGAAGAATATAAAAAAAAAGTCTTCAGTTTTCTGAAATTTCAAGATACAAAACATTTTCTGCAGAGTAACCCACTGTGAATAAAATAAAAATACAGCCCCGGTGAAGGAAGGAGGTCTGAGAAAACCACATCCCTGGAATACTTGACAGGAGGCCTTCGGCTTGTCGAGAAGACGTGGCCACAGGCACATAAGAATACAGACTCTATTAAAGACCTAAATGTTTTAAAGTAAAAAAAAATGCCCCGATAGCCAAAAATGCATAGTGGTTACTAGCCTCGTCCATTTGTGTGGTTAGAGTAAAATGCCAGAACAGAAATTTACTGCCCACAGTTCTAGAGGCCAAGACGTCCAAGCTTGTCCTTGGGAGATTCAGTGTCTGTTAAGGGCCCAGTCCATTTTTCCCAAAATGCTGCCTGGTTGCTTTGCCCTTCAGAGCGACTATCATACCACCAATGTGTGGTAGAAGGATAGGAGAAAGGGGGGGGGCTAGCTAATTCTCTTGAGTGGGTTGGGTTGTTAATATCATCTATGAGGGCCTCGTGACTTAATCCCTCTCCAGAAAGCCCTTTCTCTTAATACCATTGTGGTAGTTTGAAAGAAGATGGCCCCCCAGAGGGAGTGGCCTTGCTGGAGAAGGTGCATCACTCTAGGGGTGGGCTTTGAGGTCTCTTTGGCTCAAGCTTCCCTCAGCGTGACTGTCAGTCCACTTCCTGTTGCCTGTAAGAGACCGCGCTTTCAGCTCCGGCACCACAACTGCCCGCACACTGCCAGGCTCCTCACCATGATGGTGATGGACTGAACCTCCGAAACTGTAAGGCAACCACCCCAATTAAACGTTTTCCTTCTAAGAGCTGCTTGGTCACCGTGTCTCTTCACAGCAGTGAAAACCCAAACTAAGACAGCTGTCATTTCAGCAAATTGTTTCAGAATATGAATCCAGGGATATTTATAGGCAATATCAGTGATGGAGGGGGATAGTTCCCATTCTCTGATGGTCCCAAAGGACCCAGATGAAAGTAACATCCAATTAAGAACAATTAGCATATCTAAAAGAGATAGAAGAGGCTGGGGTGAGGAGAAAGACCTTTTTGTCGGCAGGGGGGTATGACCTTCAGGTGGTTCACGAACTAGCTAGGTTAGGGAGGAGTGGATTAGAAAAGACATTCTGTAGGTTGACTCAAAAGTAGAATATTGTCTCATGGTGTCTGGAATTCTAGCATTACAAACTTTTCAGGTTCTTAAGAGCCCTAAGGATTTTGTGTCTTGATTTAAGCAGCCCCGAGAGCTTATTTGGAGGTTCTTGCAGGGGTGCAGAGTTTCCCACATACCATTGACCAGAGAAAGGCCCTCCTCTGTCTGGGAAGTTTGTCCTCTTCCACCTACCAGGAAGTTTCAGAAGGCTTCACATGGAGTCGTGACAGAGGAAACAGATGCCCCGCCTGTCCAGACAGACCAGCCACATCAACACTATGACACAGTGTCACAGTCTGATCACTCCTGTAACCTTAAATGCATCTAGCCTAGGAATATTACCTTGAGACAATTTGGTCATTATTTTATGAATGACAGGGAGCTTGTGGACAAGTGCATTGAGAAGGTTATTGTTCTAGAAAGTATTGGTATGGAAGGAAAGGACGCTGGATGGTGCTACCTATATCCTAATTTCTATAGTGCAAGAAACCCATAGGTATCTTCCCGAGAAGACTTTCATACTTGAAGGTTTCCACCCCACTCTGGATTTAGCTGCATGAATAAATTTGCCATTCCTCCATCTGGAGACAACCTAATTAAGTAAGAGGGGAAAAAAAAGCTCCCAGTACAATTTGAGACCTGTGTAGGGATTCACTTACCTCATGTAGTGCCCGGCAGGACCTCTTACTATGATATGTTATTCTGAAGTATTAATCATATTTGCCCAGAGTAGCAAAAGCAGTGAGTCCACTTAGGGTCACAGGAACGTCCTGGTTGGCTTTTGTTGTCAACTCAAAGAGGGAACCTCAAGTGAAGAATTGTTAAGATCAAAGCAGCCCGTGGCCATGTCTTTGAGAGGTTTCCTTGATTGGTAATTGAGGCAGGAGGTCCCACCCTGCTATGGGCAGCACCATAGCTAAACAGACAGGCCTGAAGTAGACAAGAAAGCTAGCCAAGTATCCGAGTATAAAGGGGGTGGGGGGTGTCTTCCTGCCTATGGCTAGAATGATTTATTGCCGTGACAGAAAAGCAAAATAGAACAGGAACCCTAGATATCACTTATAATATTCTTGGGGAGGTGTTATGAGGATGGGCTCAAAGTGTGTGTGGAAATCCCTTCACATGGCCCCAGTAGATGCTAAAAGTCTGCCCATTCGGGGACTGGGAAGACCGATCGGTGGATAAAGCACCCACTGCTCAAATATGGGGACCCAACATCCTCCTCTGGTCTCTGCAGACAATCACACAGGTGCAAACACACAGAAGAAAAGACAATGCAAGGAAAACCTTACAATGTTTCTAAGCCCCAGAAGCACCAACATAGTCTAATGTACCATCTGGATGTGTCATTGCTAACCCGAGACTGTTGAGAAGCGGCAGTGTTTAATGTGTACTATTACATGGATCCTGCATCTTAAACCCACAGGAAATGTTAGATGAGACAACACATCTGTGGGAACTTTAGCTAAATCAGCCCAAAATATGGCTCTTTGTCAAAAGATGATTCTTTCCCCTCTCCCTCTGCCTCAATTTGCATCTCTTTTAAAAATACTTTGAGCTGACCCAGGCAATTTCTGTGAGTCCCCTCCATCTGCAGCTGTCTGGGACACTGCCATTACTCACATGCAGAAGCAAGTGTACACGCCACATCCTGAGCTCAGCACAGCAGGGACAGGCGGCAGCCTCAGCCTCCGTGGCCAGGAGAGAAAGGATGCTCCCACCTCAAAGTATCTCAGGATCCTGAAATGTCCTAACAGGAATAGCAGGGGATGAGACTGTGTCGTTGCTGTTGTTTATTTTCTCTGCTATTATCTAAAACTGTCAGGAGAGCTAAGCATGGTGGCACATGCCTGTGATCCTAGCGTAGAAAGGCCAAGACATCTGTGCTAGCACAGGCCTGGGCATCTAACACAATCCCGTTTCTGGAAAATAATAACAAAACCACTATCACACACACACAAATATTTTTTAAGGCAATGACTGCGAACATAGTTTTGTTTCAGTATCATAAGGGTTGTTGCTTTTTGCAATGTATGACAGAACCATGTAAAAGAGCCAGGCACCACACTTGAAACCCAGGATTGTGGAGGTCAAGCCCAGGACCCATGTAAAAGAGCTAGGGACCACACGTGAAATACAGCATTGTGGAGGCAGATACAGGCAGGTCTCCAATTCACTGGCCATCCAGTCTAGCCAAATCTTCAAGTATTGAGCCAGTGAAAGACCCTGTCTCACAACAAACAAACCAAGGTGGAGGCTGCAAAGATGGCTCATCAATTAAGAGCACTTACCGATCTTTCAGAGGACCTGAGTTCAGTTCTCAGCGTCCACATCAAAGAGTTCACATCCACCCATAACTCCAGCTCTACGGGCACCTAAAACCATCTTCTGGACTCCACAGACACCTGCGTTAATACGCACATGCTCCTCTATAGACACACACAGAGAGAGTTAAGTAAATCTTTAAAATTAAAAGCAAAACAAAAACTAGCTGGGCAGTGGTGGTGCACACCTTTAATCCCAGCACTCAGGAGGCAGAGGCAAGAGGATCTCTAGGTTTAAGGCCAGCCTGATCTACAGAGTAAGTTCAGGGACAGCCATAGCTACACAGTGAAACCCTGTCTTGAAAAACATAAACAAAACAAAAAAAATAAAAAAACACAAGGTGGACTGCACTTGAGGAACAAAACTCTAGGTTGATCACACACACACACACACACACACACACGTGCACATGCATGCATTTACACCTATACCCATATAAGAGTTCTCAGAATTGATTGGGATGCTGTCTTGTTCTCACACATTGATAGCAATGGTTGCATTATTCAAAATAAATTTTAGTTATATACAACATTACTAAGTTTCACTGTGATATACATTATCATATTTAGCTCATATCTGTCCCCTGTTACACTCCCTTGCTCCTCTTCAACTCTTCCCTTCTTCCCCTTCTTCCTCTAAACAGTTCTGCTTTATGTCATATATAATAGATACATATCATATATAGATATGATATAGAGAGAAGGGAGGGGAAGGACGGCGGGAGGAAAGAAGAGAAAACATTCCATGTTTGCTTTTCTGAGACTGGCTTGTTTTGCTTAACATGATGTCTCCAGTTTCACCATTTTCCTGAGAACAAGATGACCTCACTCTTCTTTATGGGTAAATAATAAGGGAAACACGCCCTTGGGTGGTTGTACCATGTCTCTACATCCAGCCAGTTGCTTATGTGCATGTCTGCTGATTCCATATCTTAGCTATGACAAAAAGTACTTGGATAAACACGTGTTATGCCACTCTGTGGATGCTCCTTTAGACTCCTTCAGACGCACCAAGAGGCGGCACAGCTGGATTGTATGGTACGTCTTGTTAGTTTATTTTGGTGCATGTATGTGTGGTGCATACATGTGTGAACTACACTTGCACATATGGGTATGTGTAGATACCAGAGGTTGGTGGTAGGTTTCAGGGTAGCCCCCAAGCCTTTCCCAGAGTGAGCTTGCAAAACAAAAACAAAAACAAAAAAACCATGCCTTAGGTTGACATACTTCAGTTAACAAGAACAGTAAGAAAAACTACAGAAGTCAAAGAGCCAAGTTAGTACATGTGGAGACTTTTCTAGAACTAAACAGAAGTCAAAGAGCCAAGTTAGTACATGTGGAGACTTTTCCAGAACTATGGACTTTGATGGATTAGGCCTCTGTTTTTCATTTTAATTGGTGGTGCTGTCTACATCTTGAGTTTTACAGCCTGAATGGTAAGATCGCCTATGGTTTTGAGACAGGGCGTTGCTATGCTGACCAATCAGAATAGCACCGAGATAAGGTGTCATTGTGCTGGCCAATCACAATGAGTCTGAAACAGGGTGTCGCTGTGCTGACCAATCATAGATTCCTGTATAAGCTCCTCTCTCCATGCTCTGCTAATGTTGCTCTTGATATCTGTAAACATTTGCTTATTTTTGTACATGGAAAAACTGTGGGAATGGTTTTTCTCCTAACATGTATGTTCTTGGGGTCAAGCTCGGGAGTCAGGCTCTCTGGAAAGCAACTTTACCGGGTCAACATTCTTTTTTTTTTTTTTTTTTTTTTTTTTTTGGTATTTACGAGACAGGGTTTCTCTTTGTTGTTTTGGAGGCTGTGGGTCCAGCCCAGCCTGGAACTCACAGAGATCCGCCTGCCTCTGCCTCCCGTGCGCCACCAACGCCCGGCCCAGGTCAACATTCTTAATGTTTCCTTTCCCCCCTCAGGTATTCTTGGCGCCACCAACTGAGAGAATTTAAGAGTGAGTACAGAGTTGTCGCGCTGGATCTGCGAGGCTACGGCGAGTCAGATGCGCCCGTTCACCAGGAGAGTTATAAACTGGACTGTCTGATTGCAGACATAAAGGATGTTTTAGACACCTTAGGTAAGCTAGCCTTTAAAAACCATTTAAGCGTGTGTACGCATTTCTGTGTCCACACGGGTGTATACACACACACACACACACACACACACACACACACGTATGCAGGTACCAGGAGAAGGCATGACGTTCTTTGAAAGTTACAGTGTTTGTGAGCCTGCACTGGGCACTGGGATCCACATTCTAGCCTTCTGATAGAGCAATAATTACTCCTAACACCTGAGTCCTTTTTAGGGAATACTGGATAAGATAGTGGTTAGAATAGTTCCAGAAATGTAACTCTTTTATGTGAGATAATGATGTCACCACCTGTTTCTTTACAACGATGCCAACGTGTTCCTCTTGGTCACAGGGTATACCAAATGCGTCCTGATTGGCCACGACTGGGGAGGCATGATTGCCTGGCTGATTTCCATCTGCTACCCTGAGATGATAATGAAGCTTGTTGTTATCAACTTCCCACACCCCAGCGTGTTTACAGGTGAGCTTACGCTTTTACTAAACCACTCAGTCCCCTGGCACCACTGGCATTTTGGATTAAAGACAGCAAAATATGGCTAACATAATCTTTTAAAAATCCAAGCAAGTCTGGGCATGACGGTGCCTGTCTGTAGTCTCAACCCTTAGCAGGCTGAGACGGGGGTGGGGGTAGGGGGTGGGAAATGAAGAGTTCAAGGTCAGTTTGAGCTACACAGTGAGAGATATCACAAATAAGTGAATCTACAGATGGATAAATCAACAGAGTTAGCCGACCAAGCCGAGATGGCACAGATACGTGACGTTAGATACCTTAATTTGGTTAGTTTTTCAGATAGGATCTTACATTGTAGCCTAGGCTGACCTAAGCGTTCAATACGCCAGCCTCATCCTCCCAAAGGCTGAGATTAGAGGCATTTGCCATCAAGCCCAGGCTCTCTCTCTCTCTCTCTCTCTCTCTCTCTCTCTCTCTCTCTCTCTCTCTCTCTCTCTGTGTGTGTGTGTGTGTGTGTGTGTGTGTGTGTGTATGTGTGTGTGTGTGTGTGCTTGAATGTGCACACACAGGTGTTGGGGATCAAGCCCAGGTCTCTACCATTGCTAGTGAGCTATAATGCCAGCCTAATGCTGATTTTAACTTTTCTGAAAAGAAAAAAAAGCTAAGAAAATTTAGCTTCTTCTTCTTCTTTTTTTTTTTTTTGGTGTTCTGTAAGCTTCTTTTTCTTTTTTATTATTTATTTTAAATTTAAATTTAAATGAAAATTTAGTTTCTTATTTGCTTGTATAATTTCATTTTTTGGACAATATTTCATTTAACTTGGAGAGGGATAAGGGAGGAAATATGGTAGCAGTACTTTGAAAGTTATGAATCCTGGCAAGAAGAAATTCTCCCTTCTTTTTTTCCTTTGAGTACTTCAGCTGTTGAACACAAAAATATTTCTAACCCTCAATTTTATTTCTTTATTCTCTTAAAATTATTAAAGACCTGGAGGAGACTCTTTATCTGGGTTTTATCTGTAAGTGGTTACTACTTAGGAAATTAGATCTGGGAATATACATGCTTATATATCCCTCCATTAAAAAAATCATTACAGGTTCACATAAACACTGTGTTTTGATGAAAACTAACTACGCTGAACAAATTTTAGTGAAAAGGATGTTTCGCATTTAACAAATCTCTTTAATTCTGCAAAAAAAAATAGAAGACAGCTGGGCTCTCCTCGATGCTTCTGCCTTCAATCTGCCGCAATATGTTCCTAGAGCAGAAGTGTGAGAAGAAATCTGGCCACACACAAATTTGCCATCGGAAAAGGCAGGAGCGTTTTCACATGCCCGTCTTCTCCTTCCTCTACCCGACCCGTGTCCAATCCCACTCCCAAACACACGGCTCCCTCTTCTACACATGTAAATAAATGTACGAATATGGCCGCTGAGTCCGTTCAGTGTTACCCATGTGCACATGGCTGACAGCTCGGTACTGGATAACCAGTCCCAGGGCTCATCCCTGGGGAGAATGATTCTCTCTCAGCAGCTGTAGTCCTTCACCCATGGTTGGGTTCCCGTGAGATTTCCCCCAACTATATTGGGGTGTCAGCTGGTGTTGGAATTGTTCCAGTCTTGTTCAGGCAGGCGCCAACGCTGTTGAGAATTCGTGGGTGTAGCTTCCCTGCCATAGATCGAAGATGCAACCTTGCAGCAGACCTCCTGATGCCCTCTGACTTTCGGCAATCTTTCTACCCACTGCTCCCTCTTCTCTGACGTCTCTTGAGACCTAGGCGCAGGAGTTGTAGATCTGTCATTTGGGGGCTGAGTATCCCAGGGTCAGCAGTTCTCTGCATTCTGACTGGCTGTGTGACCTTTTGCAATGGTCTCTGTTGCAAAAAGCAGCTGTCTTTGATGGGGTGAGGAGTGAGAACTTGTGTGACCACCTGTTTCTTTACAACGACGCCAACATGTTCCTCTTGGTCACAGGGT